CATTTGAGGATATGTAAGTCATTGGTCATAGATATTAAATCTGTTTTAACTTTATATCTTACCCATAAGGACCAATCTGGTTTTTTACCATTCCACACTAGGTTTTCTATGTTTTTGAATGCTATTGCTCTTGCCTCTTCTTTCTTCTTGTTTTTCTGTTCCTCTGTTAGTACTTGATTTTATTTATTTTCCTCGTCTTCTTTTTTCTTTTTCTTCTTTTTCTTGTTAGCCTTTTTTGTCTTCTTATCCTTCTTCGAGATTTCTTCTCTTTTTTTCCATTCTATATGAGCGCCTTTTTGGAATTGGTGACGCACCCCAAAATTTTACATATAGTGCGTCAGTCATTTGACAATAATAATAGCCAATCAAATCACATAAAAATATAAAATTTTTAAAACATACGTCTAAAAAACCTTTTAACTTTTAGATCTAAAATGTATAGTTATAATTGACAAATTTTTTCTTAGTAATACTCATAATACAACCTATATCTTCTATGCTAACTATAATATTTATATATACAGATAACTTGTAAAGTACTCAAGTATTTTGCTCCATGTTATAGTACTATTGTATATACCAGGTAGGTGAAAAGTCTTTAAACAGGACTCTAAATAGAATCTTTTCTATCTATATACGCTAATATTTAATTCTATATATTTATTTTTATAACAGATAGGGAATACTATCTCTGCTAAAATTAATACATACAATTTATAAAAATATTGCAATAATTATAATTATAAATATCAGGATGATGTTCTTAGTGATTAAAAAAAACAGGTTCCTGTTTAAAGACTTTTCACCCACTCAGTAGTATTGTTTATACAATCTTAGTTCAAAAAAAGGTTATAATAGCAATGGTATGGCATTAAATCTACTTTATTTGTTTGGTATAAGGCATATAACTCTCAAAGAATGGCTATACAGATAGATGCATCCAAATAGTACCTGTAGTATTTATTAGAAATTGGTCATTATTCGTTTAACTATATTTAACCATTTACTTATTTTATATAATTAAACAGATAAAGATTTTATAGACAATTAATTAAATTTGCTTAATTGTTTTTGAATTTATATGGTTTAATCATTTAATTTAATGATTGAATCTCCAAAAAAAAGTATCAATATATACATATGAACTTGATAGAAATCAGTATTCTAAACTAATCATAAATTTGTATCGATTTAACTACTTTAGGTTTGTTGAAGCCAGAATAGAAATCAGAAAAAGAGATAGCTCAAATACCAATTGCAATTTTTATTTCAATTGATCGTAGCATTTGAGCATCATCTCGATCACTAGCTAATTACATCGAGGGAGGCACCCTTAATTTAGAACTAATTCATATCAACTTATAATTGAATGGATTCCAGTTTGACAGATTAGAAATGTTGGCAAAGGATTTAACTTTTTTGTAACTTGATTAGATGGTTCATCTGTTAAATAACCTGAGTAGTAGTTTTGAATGGGTTTATTTACTATGCTATTCAAGTTTAATATACGAATTTGTTTTTTGAAACTTATACTATTTACTAGCGCTAGAGTTTGAAACGTAATAAAATTTAATTATACATATCTGAATTTATTTAATTATATATATTAAAAATAATTAAATATTCAATCACCTAATGCATATTAACATAAGTAGACAGATCGAAAAGACAGCATTTTTCAATCACATGTTTTATCTACTATGAATTTCAAGCCACCGAAATAGCTAATATAAAAGGGTTGTAAAATAAAATCAAATTTTATACTTTTCTCTTATCGAATACCTAATTCATATAGTTAGCATTTCTTAACCCATTATTTTCTGTCCCACACTATAGTCTTCTGACTTTGCTGTTATGACTAAAGTTGGGATCTGACTAAAGTTGGAACTTCAGTTGCCTGAAGTTGGACCTGACTAAAATTAGCCCCCAAAATTAAATTATCCTGCACGCATTAGTTAGCTGTTTTAGGCAGGTGCCAACTTCAGGTACCTGAAGTTCCAACTTCAGGCAGATGCCAACTTCAGTCACAACACTATCACTATCTAAAAATATATATATATATATATGCCAAATACATATCGATTTACAAAACTATTTCTAGTTATGATAGATACCAGTTTACTTATTTACTCCAAGTCTAATACATTTAGACTTAAACAAAATAATGTCTATTATACATATACTATTATTAAAGAAGGTGTATATCCTTCAAACGATATTGTTTGTTATACTTCTGATCACTTACGTAGTAGTATTAAATTTAAGATTCCAGATAATTACTTAATTAAAACTAGTTGGGGCAAAAAAAAAATCTCATCATACTATACAATGTTCAATTAATTATAATCAATTAGGACCAGTTTTTAAAATTTTTTTTGGAGAAGATTTTTAAAATTATGTTGAATCGACAGAATCAGCAACAAAAGTAGCAAATGATTATTTGCGTATAAGTAATTTATTTTAATTAAATTTTATTAATTTCATATATAATTTTAAATATATATGTACTATAGGTAAGAAATCTAAATACTCGAGCATTAATTTCTGGCATACATGTTTTTTGCCTTAACTGTTTGGAGTTGGATAAAAATCGACGATCAAAACTTCAAATTCATCTGATTAAACCATTTATTGAACTAAGTAATTCTATGAAAACTAAAAGAACACATAAATTTGGTGAAAATTTGGCAATAGATTTTAAAAACCAAGCTGCAAAAATTTATCATCCCAATGATCAATTAAACTTACAAGAGGTTCAGCTTGATATATATAATAAAAATTATTTGATTAATTTTTGTAAACAAGATAAAGAAAAAGAAAATCAATGCATAGAAGCATTTACTAAAGTTATTGATCAAAAACCTATTGCAAGAGATGTATATCGCAATTTAGCAGCTCTTTAACCTGAATTACTATGCAAAAAAGCTATTTACCAAACTAGAAAACGAATTGATGAAGAAATGCAACAGTTAATTCCAATAGTTGTTTTAAATATTTCAAACATAGAATCTTCTATTTTAACTGATAAAACATCAGATATTTACGATTCAGAAATTGTAGAAGAGGTTGGGCAATATGTTGGAAAAGCTGGATACCGTCAAATTACAGATATTTTACATTATATACTTCCGGATCTTATAAAATGACATATAGTAAATTTAAATAATCCTATTATTCATTTACGGATATCAGGTGATGGTAGAAATATAGGAAAAAAAATTAAACATGTTATGATCACCTGTACTATCCTGAATGATATTTCAAATCTTCAAAAAGCTGATTATCATTATACTGTTATTTTATATCCGAATATTGAGAATTATAATATATTACGAAAGGTCATAGTTCCTTTAGTTAGTAAATTATGGGATTTAGTAACCAATGGATTAGACGATACGCTAGACAATAAGTGGATAATTAAGCTGTATTTTAGTAGCGATTGGAAATTCTTAGCCATTATTCTAGGTTTTAATGCTTCTAATGCTAATTATTTTTGCCTATGGTGTTTGTGTAATAAAAAAGATATCGGTAATAAGCATAAAACATTTACGATTGAAAAATCAATGGATCAACTTCAACCTGCTTTTTTTAGTAGTCATGCATTTTTAAAACCCCCACAAGGCCATAATAAAGAACCTCTTCTCCGATAATTCCCTTGCATAATTATATTCCAGACGAATTGCATATTATGTTGCGAATCTGAGATCGTTTATAGCTTTTAGTACTTCAAGAACTTAAAGCAGAAAATCGGTTTAATGATCAAATACGTGAAATTATTATTGGTGAAATGCGAAGAATTTCAGTTAAATTTCAATTTTGGCAAGATCAATCTACACAAAACTGGGCGCATACAGCATTAATGGGTGGTGACAAAGAAATTGTATTACAAAATTTTAATTTTGGAGTTATCTTTGATGAGGAACGTTCATTATTAATTAATAATTTATGGTGAGATTTTTATCAACTTTATAAAGATATGAAAGCTCCAAATGTTAATTCGCAACAATTTGCAAATAAGGCAAAACAATGGTTTAATTTGTTTCTTACACCTTCTTAGAGTGAACCCAATACTATTACTTTTAAAAAAGGACTCTATCGTCCAAATGATGTTACTTTATACATTCACGTTCTTGTCTATCATGTGCTCGAATTTATAAAACGACACCAGCAATTTGGACTTAAGGCCTTTTCATGTGCTTCTGTTGAAAAAAAAAATCATGAACATGTATTGGCATTTTTTAGAAAAACCATGAAGGATAGAGGCTATGAAGAAAGAAAATCAGCTATTCTGGAGATTTTATATTATGAAAATCAGGTTATGTATTTTAATCAAAATAACACAGCCGATACATTTCCTAAACCTCAATATATTAATATTAAAAATAGAGTTTAATATTAATAATTTAATGATGAATCATTTGATATACCAAAAGAATGGTTTGAAAGTCTTTTCAAGAAATATATTAATTATCTTGAATTTAATAAGCTTATAGACTCCACAATAATTGGTTTCAGAAGTATTGAAAAGGTTTTAAAATACGAATGAAAAAACGATGATGTAGTAGTTGCTTTTAAATGGAATTTGAGTATTTTAGGTATTCGAATCCCTTAAATTGTAGTAGAACGCAGGCAAATTTGCCTGCATTTTTGCACTTTTTTAGCTCTGATTTATTTTTTTAAAAAACCAAAATATTTAAATAAAACTTTGTACAATTATATTT